CCTCATTTGTGCCGTTGTCATTCTTCTCATTGTATGATTTTTGCAGGTCGGCAGTTGAGCCAGCGAGGTCCTCCAGAGAAGCGACACCAAGCTTGACACGCTTGCGCTGAGCCTTGGGTCCGAAGGTATCAGCGAATGGGTTGTTCTCAACCTCCATCTTGGCCTGATGTTGCTTGAGTCCGTTCACGTTGTCATTGTCCCGAATCAAGCTCATGGGCAGCTTGTTGGTCTTGAGGAGAACCTGGTAAGGATCCGCGGCACGCTCGGCGACAGCCTCACGGAATGAAGTGAGTGCCTCTTGTGAGATCACTCGGGTGTTGCCGAACCATTTCCGGTTGGGCTCGATGCGAGCGACGGGGGCATCACGAGATTGGAAAGAGGCAGCGACAGTGATGTCTCCAGCAGCGTTGCGCCTAGCTTTACCATCCTTGAACATGCTCAGGTGCTTCGCCTGTTTCGCAGTGCTGCATTTTGTTAGGAAAAGGTGACCCAATGACCTGTCGCCATAGCTAGACATACCGATAAAAGTTTTCACCTTTCGTCTTGACATTGCCCATGCCATCGTCAGTCTTTCCTTGCCGCACTTTACGTGCGGCCTCCTTCTTTCCAGTACCCATGATGAGGTTCAAAAGGAGAATGACCTTGTGAAAGAAAAATTCAAAGGCAAGACCAAACACGAGGAGTGGTAGAGCGCGGAAGAAGAGGAGGAAGATTTCGGCGGACTATTTTTTTTTTTCGGCTGGGGCGCTAAGGCTGGGTCCGATGGCTGACCGCCCTGGATCGAATCACCGCTTAGTCTTTTCTGCCTCTCAACCTGAGACACGTGACCAAATGCCAAGCCCGGTCCCTTTCTGCCTGAAAATGGTTTGTTTCTGCCTGAAAACTCACAGACCGCTTGGATTTTCTTCCGGTGCTTGTCCGCGCATCCTCCTTTCTGGTGCAAGAGCATTCCATTCCACCTTGTCCCATTGATTTCCCGGGCACTGCCAAGCACGACTGGGTCAATTCAACAAATATCTTGGATTTGGCCAAAAGAGCTGTCGCAAAATGTCAGCTCTCCGCGTCACCCGGGCTGCCAATGTGCAGGCCCGCGGTTTTTCGACCTCAACCAACCTTCGAGTCGGCCCCGAATCCCCCCATTACCTCGACATTCCTCGCATTATTCAACCGAGCAACCCCGTTAAGCCCAAGGTTAAGGGTACCCTGCCCGTGCCTCGCGAGATCTTCCCCGCCCGTCGCGCCGACAAGCCGTCACCGCAATATGTCGAAGCCGTGTCACCCGCCCGAACAAAGAAGCCAAGCCGCGCATCGGACGAGCTGGAACGCGAACAGCAACTTTTCAAATTGAAAATGGCCGACCGCCGACGAAGCCATCTCCGCGAGAGTCTGAGCGTCCTCCACGAGCGCAAAGTGGCAGCGGAGAAAACAATGGTCACCCGCAGCCGTATGACTCAGGAACGCCGTCAGCGCATTTTCAACCAGCCAGAACCCGAAGATGAGCGTCTGACACGGCCATCCGTCGTGGCGGCCATGCTCGCCCCCAACGACACTTTCCTTCGAGACGCCGGCCGCGAACAACGATTGGCCTTTTCCAAGGCTCGACTCGAGGCGAAGCAAGCTCAGAAGAAGGCTCAGCATGAAGATGATCTCCACTCGCTGTACATGCATGCGCGCACTTTCATCACATCGGAGGAGCAGCTGTCTGCGGAGATTGATCGGGTGTTCCCCGATGGCGAAAACGTGGCCTGGCGTAATGACCACCAGCCTGGTGAGAATGTGTGGAACCTGGGCGCTCCCCCGACTGTCCAGTCTGCTGTTAATGAGACACGGAAGAGTGAGACCGCTCGCTGGGATGTCACCCAGGACCGAGTCAAGAAGCTGGGTGAGCAGATCACTGGTGGTAAGATCTAGTGAGGACCTCATATCATTGTACAATATTCAACCTATCTATCGCATTTTGTTTCTCCGCATCTGTATTGAGCCTTGAGAGGTTGTGTGAAATATATTATTGGAAGAGGTTTACTTTTGAAAAGGTTGATATCTCAGGCTTCAAGTTACTAGTAGGCTTTTCCCTTCACTATTTTCCCGTTTGTATGCCAGTGCCCAGGTGGTAGTATGTCGGGCATCCATTACAATTGAACCGTGACCGAAATCAGCTCGGGAGTGTTCAAAAATGTAGCACACCAAATGCCATAGATTTTTAATACATTAGTACTAGTAATCGTAGTAGTAGCAGTACATAACCTTGGAACAACTTGAACTTGAATGCAGGTTCATTTTTCGAAAAGTATATAGTTCTACTAATACTAGTAGTATTTTGATTTTCAAGTACTATGGCATTGATCAGCTAAGATCCTCCAAGTCAGTCAGCGAAGTTGGAAAATGAAAGTAAATTCGATTATCAGCAATCTTCAATGACCCATGAACCTCCCGAACAGACTTTTCATCCTCAGCCCCCGCGATTGTGAAATCACGCAGTCGATGACTGTCAATCGGAGCAGGAGGGGGACTTTCAACCATCTTCCGTACTTGAAGGCTGAGGTCCTCAGGAATTTGTATCCCATGCTCCTTCTCAATAACCAGTTTACCTGCCATGTATATTGCTTTTGAATCCCATAGGATTTCCCTGTCGCAGCATTTCTCTTTCATCAACGAAAGAGCCTTGAGTCGAAGTGGAAGGTAGCGACACTTCATGACGGTGAAGTAAAGTTGCGGCGCAAAGCCCATCTCGAACATGAATTTGGGCGACCTTGACCAGAAGGGATCTTCAGTTGGTGGTGGTTGTTCAGCGATCTCAACTATTCGTTCAAATTCATCAATGTAAGCATCGTAGGCGGTTTCGTCATCCTCCATGAAAGAGTTTGTCCATATTTTTGATGCCAGCCATCGCATCTCCAGTATCCGGGCGATGGACTTGTATCGGGGATCCGTCTCTGACTGCTCCTTCAAAGGGGTAAATGAGACAAACCATGTCTCCATGTAAATGTTCAGTCGGTGGATCTCCTTTGAGAAAAAGTGGGAATATTTCGACGTAGTTGAGGATGAGGCTGAGGTTCGATATTGGTCTCTTAACCGAGCTAACTTTACCGCGTGATAGCCTAACCAGTCTATCATCTCTTGTGCTTGTGCGAAGGTCTGGAAGGGGGTTGGGGCGGATGGGTAACCACCGTTTGTTAAGAAAGGAAGCTCTGCGAGACACTCGTTGGAGAAGAGGGTCACGAAACTCAGATGGCGAAAGATAGAAGCTAGCTCTGCGTTGGGGCGGGATGAGTTCATGAGCAGAATCCCATGCCTACAGTGACTAACTGCTGCCTGCTTATTTCCTCGCATACACTCGATGCAAGAGAAGAGAATGGAGACGATGATAGCTGTATCGACCTGTTCGGGATAATGTGCTTTGAGAGATATGATGTCCTTAATGGCGCTATTATAATGCCGCATTGCGTATCCATCGTCATACGGAGATCGAAGCTGCTTTAGCCCTTTGCCGAATTGTTCGTAAAGAGAGCTTATGGTGATCACAGCATGTCTTGCGGCAGGTTCCTGATGGGCTAGTTGAGCGACTAGATGGGTCCAGAATGATCGGCCCAGTGGCCCGGAGAGAACGGGGGCCACCACATGCTGGAAGAATTCCAAACTGCGGAGAGAACTATCGTCCGCATCGGGTATTCTAGAGGGGATAATATGGGATAATTCGGTTCGGGAGACGAGATAGTATCCGTCGCATTTTCGACCGGTAGATTGACAGCGTTTGCAGACGGGGTGCGTTTCATCGCACTTAACCCTTCGAATTCTAATGCGATGGTATAGATTTAGCTTCCATGTTGACCCAGGACATGAAGATCAGACGATCACAGATTAGACATACTTGCACGTCACACAACCAGTACGGACTCTTTGCAAGCCTTGCCGTCGTGTACTAAAACGAACCACTTGGCTTTCGCTCATCTCGAATCCTTGAGGTATCATGGGAATGCGAGAGCGGGGACAACCCTGAGCGGTGGAAAAGAAGCTGAGGGTTGCGTGAGACTAATTAAACAGGGTGGAGGGAATGGGGCTGTGCAAGTCCGATTCAGAGGGTTTAATTGCATACAGGGGTCCTTCAAAGCCGCCGATACAGATGCAGATGCACTTGCCAGCTAGCGTATGCAGCCTTGTGGCCCAGTGCTGCGTGCATAAAGCATCGGGGTAAGAAGGCCAATCATTTGGCGACATTATAGATAGCCCATCGCAAGTTGAGTCCCACATTGGGCGCCTCAACATCTCAAGAGCTGAAGTACGGAGTAAATTAAAGTTCTCTGCAACGATACACTGCGAAATTCCAAATGTTGGCCATCTGCAGTCATTATTACTCTCAATTTGAGAAAGGGCTGACTGCACCAGTCAGGTCTTGGCAATATAAGCTTGCTGGCATTTCACTTCCTCCCGGGGTTTGGTTTTTGAACAAAACCCGGATTCATTGACTTGAAGAGGATAAGCCGCCAAATATTTGCCAGCGATGCGACGGATCGATCTTTTCTTGGGTCAGAGGCAGCTGAGACGTGAGATGGAAGTGTAAAAAGTTGGCGGTTCAAGGTTAGAGTTTCTCCACGCCAAGTCTATGCACAGGCAATCTGACGTCGCTGAGAGATTTCGCGACGGCTGAAAATGATTTATTCTCGCTCTAAATGCCGACATCGAATCCATTCAATCCGAGGCTTTGTACAATTGAATCCTGAATTGATTCCTTGTTTTACTTTCCTGCTGATGATTCCCACGTGCTGCCTTGAGGCTTGGCTCGACCAAGAGGCGCAGTCAGATACCCCAGACACCCAATGGGTCTGAGCCGGAGTTCCCTCTATTTTTCTGTAACTTCTTGACGCGCTTGACAAGAGTTCCAACACATATTGGACCGACAAGTGTGCAGATAGAGATAGCCCATATAATCACCAGATAAATCTCGGATACTTCGTCGGAAGAGCCGGTTGAAAACATGCCTTGACTCTGTGCTAGCGAAGCAATCAGATATCCGACTTCTCCTCGAGCAACCATAGCCAAGGCAAGAATAGATGGCGGATATAATGATTTGGGCTTTTCTGGGAACGTAACAGAGGAGCGTTGATTCGACTGTGGGCTTTCATCTTCCCGGGGCCCGGGCTGATGAGTAGTCTCTCTCGGTTAGAAGGAGACCTGTGGACGGCAGCGTTGGGAGGTGTATCTGCGTTTTCGCCTGACCGATCGTGCGAAGTTACCGCGGCGGAACTTGAAGGAGTCTCATGTCTCCTCTTTTGCTCTTTATTGGGTTTCTTCGGAGTACAAAACAGGCGAGAGCGACGAACGAAGTCCTTGATATAGTTGACGAGTTTTGACATGGGATTAAAGGAAAATCGAACCAGCCATAGACCCGTGACCATCTTTCCAAACATCATGAGCAAAGAATAGATCAGGCCGCGCCATACGACACTTCCCCGAAACATTTCGGTGATAGGAATCGCAAATCCAATTGATGCCTGGATGGTATATTAGTATGGTAAAGAAAGTGATAATGCAACTTGAGACTCACGAAGAACAGTGGAGTCAAGATTCGCGTTACTGGTTGCTTGTAATATCTCTCGTAAACTATTTCGCCCGTTGGCATCTCATCGCATCGAGCGCTGGAAACTTCAGTGGAAGATCCGCCATGCTGTTCGTGGGCGCTCAGCGAACTAGTACCTGCTGCATGGCTTGCAGATTCAGGTGAAATTTGAGCATTATCTTGGCCAGCAGAATTTGCCCCCTTGAAATCCGTAATCGTGCTATCAAACCAGGTGACTACAACACCGGCAAGATATGCGGCAAAGAGACTGGATGTTCCCGCATAAGTGGCAGCCGCTACGATCCCGACCAAAACAAGTGTTTGGTAGAGAAATGCAAACTGCATCGTCCTCATAAGGGAAGGCAGTCTCAGCTTAACGCGAAGCGCCTTTTTGAGACACGGCCCGACGAAAAAGGCACAGAGTAGGAAGAGCCCCACTGCGAATCCGATAGAGACGAATACGGGTCGGATGACAGTAATAGCGTCGAAAGATGAGCCGTTCCCTCCCAGATTTGAAATTATTTGGACCATCACTAACCCAACGACGTCATCGAGCATCGCAGCACTCGTTGTCACAGTACCCAAGCGCGTGGCGATCAGATTCGTTGTTGATAGGATCGTAAAGGTTGTTCCGAGGCTTGTGGCGCTTAGAGCTGCGCCAGCAGCAAATGCTTGTAAAGAGCTCGCGCCGACCAGCTCTCTGAGAATGAATGATAGACCCATAGGCACACCGATCCCGGTGACGGCGACACAGAGAGAAACCAAGAGGTTGGATTTCACTGCTTTGATAGATGTTGACAAACCACCTGTTTTAATATCAGCGATAAGTTTCTATGATCAAGTGCGGAGCTCATACTTACCTTCATAGACAAGCATTATCAGCCCGAGGTATCCGAGTTGCTGGATGACTGTTTCTGTCTCGCGATCGAGCCATTTTGCGCCGGGTGTGCCCCAAAGGATGCCGACGAAAAGTTGCCCAATCAGCCCACAATATAGGAGTTTGTCAAGGCAGACATTTACGACGTTCAACACGATGAGAAATCCTGTCTGGTTGAGGATGGTTGTTATTGGCGGTTCGTGATAGGCAAACGCCGCCTCCGCGCTAGCCCCGGCCATACGTGCGTGGTTCGGGCGAGGTGCTATGTAAATCCCCAACGAAAAGTATTCTCGCCCGTCTTCCAACGTTCCTTATTGTTACTTTTCTTCGTTTTCTTGTAATCGTAATAATGGGCCGGAGACCAAATCGACCTAGCCAAACTGGAGTGCAGATGGTTGAAGAGAGCGAAGTGGCGACGGGCGGGAATGTCAGGGCGATCTGGGTCGGTCTTGGCGTCAGTGACTACTAAGAATTTCGCTCTATTTTCTACTGACCCAAGGTGTTGGTTTTTCTTTCAAATAGGTATAGAACAGGGAACTTAGAGCTTCTTAAAAAAATATGTCCCAACCTAGTACCCTCTACCTAGGTATTTAACATGAAGAGTGGTGATATTCAGCCCTGGAGAAAGGAGATTGTTCTATCGAGATGAAAAAATATACTTATTATACAATACCGAGCAGCGACAACTCCGAGCACTTCTCAAGATCATTTAAAAGCCAGGACCACCACCGAAGTGTAGGTCGACGCGACGTAAGAATGAATCTGTTCAATTTTCAGACCCGCACCGTCTGCAAGTGATTCCCACCGTCTCTTCGTTCTCTCCACACCACCACAACTGTTCATCAAAGCCAGGTCAGCCATAGTGACCTGCCACGCAGCCCCAGTATCGGGTAGAACGGCATCATCAATGAGAATGCGAGAGTGGGATGTCATTGCCACTGCAATGTTTTGGAGAATCTTAGTGGCGTCTTGATCTGGCCAGTCGTGCATGATGCGACGGAGATAGTAGAATTTAGCACCTAGCAAAGCGTTGTTAGTTTTTTTTTTCTTCCGAATATAGGATTCAAAACCGAGAAGAAATGAAAGAAACACCTACCCACGATATGTTGTTTTTCGAAAAAGCTGTATGCTTCGATTTTAACCCCCTCAATTGGAGACAAAGGCCCAACGACAGCGGGAAGGTCCTGCAAAACCAGACGTCCGAGAAGGTTGGGGTATTTGCGCCCCAGCTGAATGCTCTGATGACCATTACCACCTCCGACGTCCACGAAGAAGATTTTATCTGATTGCTCAGCGGGAGTGGAAGGAATCTGCTTTGCCTCGGAGTCGAAAAGTTCGAATCCCTCAGTCCACTCGGAACCCTCTCAGGGAAGTCATCATCTTTTGAAACGGGACGAAATGCTCGGGATGCTGGACAAGCCAATCGAAGGAATTGAGATTTGTATTAAATGCCTTGTGGAATGGAGTATATTTGGTGCTCGTAATATCCTGGTAGTTGGTCTCCTTGAAGTATTCCGGCATTACTTGGATGTGAAGAGCATGGAAGTCAAAGCTAATTTTGAAATATTAGCAAGGGTTCCAAAGATAGGCAGAAGGGAAATCACTGACCTATGGGATATCATTGCTTCTCCATTTTCGCTAGCGAAAATGAGTGTAAGGTTGCTTGCTGCATATTCATTTGGCCCTACTTCTTTCACCACGTTGTTCGAGGCCAGATAGCGGACAAGCCTCTCTGTTGGGTGCCACGGAGTCAGCATCCTGAAGATACAATTTAGCGAGGAAACCCATTTTTACCAAGTAGACCGGCGGATGCTCCAGTGATATCAGCGAGTTGAACGACCGTCAATGGCTTTTGTGCCGTGGCAATCGTACGGAATAACTTCAGGTCTATACCGATGCGAATGACGGGGCCGAGGAGGGTCTTCCTCGGGTAAAGTTGTCAACTCAAAGTCGAATTATTCGTATAAAAGAGAACCATACTGAATTTGCAAGGTGCATAAGAACTTCCTTTGGGTCCTGGAGGTCCAGTTGGACTTGGCGCAAAGCTTTCTGAATGTCCAATCGAGTGGCTTCGTCAGCCGACTGGGCCAGAACACAAATCTGGGTAACGATGGCGTCCATTCTGAGTGTTGTAGATTTACCAATGAATAAACTATTGAGCTGTGATGATATAATATCCATGCCTGCTTGATTCTAACCTTTTATAGTTGTAGAGTCAAAGCCGGATTTGGTGTATACTTCCTGCCTGCCAAGTCCGCGGAACTTCCGCGGGGTCTTCGATCGCTGATTGGCTGACTGCGGGAGATTGAGCAGCCTGAATGACAACACAACCTTTTGCTTAAATATGCAATAAAAAGTACAGTCTTGGAGGCTGATTTGTTTGAAACTGACTTGCCAACCACGCTTGTATTTTTCAAACATTGAGCCTTTGTAGTCACCTCACGTTAGTGCAAGACAGACATCATTATACTAGTTTTACGCCGAAATGCTTAGGTTTTATATGGTAGTATCATAATATCCCCGTCCAAGCTCTCTGTGCCCTTAATACGTCCACCCCCACCGAGATACCTGCTAAAATAAACTGCCTTAATTTTTATTCTTATAAATAAAACAGATTCTCCAGTTTTCTGAGCGGTGAAATAGTAAATAAATACAATCATTTCAACCGTTCAGCGCAAATACTTCCTAGCCCGGCAAAATGATGTTGTCCGCCTCCACCGACCACCACCACCTGCCCTTCCTAACGACAACCCCTTCAGATTCAACTACGCATCGTCATCCCACAGTTGGACACTTACGTCCATTGCAAGTAAGCAAGATTTTCATCTCTTGAAACCACCGTTCGGGCATCAAGAACGACACTGTTCATTTCAGACAAACAGAAAAATACCGTCAGCCTGTCACCAACCCCGGGCCTTAGACACCTTTTCTAGGCTCCAGGTGTTCCCAGGTCATCTCATGATCAAAGTTCTAATAAGCTCTGAAGAATTCACCGACTTCGACTCTGATAATCTTCCAACAAATATCTCCCTACCAAACGCGAGCACCTCCGGGTCTCGTTGAGATAGGCTAACTTTTCTAACCAACCGAGCCATAACCACGCTGGCTATGGGTCGAGTTGTAAAAAATCAGGGAGATGGCTCACGGTCACGCCCGGTTTCTTGCGTATTCTGCCGGTCGCGTAAGCTCCGATGTAGTCGGAGCTTCCCCTGTACCAATTGCGTTAGTCGCGGCCTTGACTGCCCACAACATCCTTCCTTGCCTTCAGCACAAACAGACCGTTCGGCCGAAATGCCGATTCAAGCGTCCGCTAGCGTCGACGACGACGTCTTGGCGCGTCTACGCAGGCTAGAGGAGATCGTCATTGGCCAAGGTATAACACCTCCAATGGCCTCCACTGGGTCCTCAATGCATGCTGGGACTCCGCCTTCCCATGCTTCACCCGGTTCATTTGCGCGGAAATTTGATCGGTACAAACTTTCAGCGAGCTCCCCATCAAGCGATGTTGACTGGCTGGAAGGCGAGATAACCCACCCTGCTTCAACGGTATATATCCCCGATACAAGAACTGTATGATTATCGATTGCTTCTGACGCGGCGAATGGTGACAGAGCTGCCTGGTTTCGTACGAGGTTGAATTCAGAACATGCTCTATCAATATTACGACGTCTCCTAGCTCCTTTCTTAATCGGGGAAAACGCCAATCAGATATATTTGGCTCCCACTGCATGAAGAATCAATGCACATCATCGACAAGTATCTCGTTGATATTACACATCTCCATCATGTGGTTCATGCGCCGTCGGTACGTACATTGGTTCGTGATATCTATTATCGTTTGAATCAGAAGAGCAACCCCCTACTCGGAGATGTTTGTCTTCTCGCGGCGATGATTACTAGCACTCTTTTCTTCTGGACGGAACGAATTACACCGGAACCCCTGTTCGCCTCCGCGGAGGCAGCCCACGAAAAGACCTTGGTTTGGCTGGAGTTAACCCTTGATCTACTTGATATGTCTCGTCGAATCGGATCTAGCACCATCGAAGAGATTCAAGCCACAATCATTGTAGGTTTTGTCATTTGCAACATGGTTGGCGTCTCATCTCAGGCATATTTCTGGTTTTCCTCCGCCATATCCATCGCATGGCAACTGTCTCTTCACCGCATTGACCACCCACAAAATGGAGACTTGAATGTACCTCGCCCAGACTCCATAAAAGCGGAGGTCGCGCGAAGGGTCTGGTGGAACTTGGTCGGGACTGACTGGTAAGCATGTAAACTTTGACGTGAGCGCTAAGTTTCTGACACTATGACCAGGCAATTCTCTCAGTATGCAGGTGCCCAGAGGGGCATGTATATGATAAATCCTAGACACATGGCGACAAAAAAGCCCATGAATGCGAATGATGAGGATCTCGTTGATGGAATGGAAGGAGTTGGCCAGCCCATCGACCAAGCTACCTCCATGTCCTATTGCCTGCAAAGATATCGTCTCGCTGAGCTTTGTCGCGAACTTACTGACAGCGAGCCATTTCCACACACTGGATGTGGACCAACAAACTACCAAAGAATACTGGATATTGACGCAAAAATGATTGAATTCCTTGATAATCTACCGCCGTTCTTTTCCCTCAACTTTGAGGCCGACCATCTGCCTGACTCGGATCCACGCAGATCGACCTCGATCACTGTTCAGCGATACATCCTCAACTGCCTCGCCAATGCCCAAAGGTGTCGCATACACCTACCATACTTGACCAAGATCGCCAAAGACCCAAAGTACCTGTACTCGAGAAATGCGTGTCTCGAGGCGGCCAGAATGGTAATTCGCACCGAGCGAAAGCTAAGGACCGAGAACCTACCATTCATGCTGATGCCACTGAAATCCTCTGGTATCCTGCACTGCGTATGCATGGGAATCATTGTGCTATTGATGGACATCTGCCTCAACAGGACTTTTCAGACAGGTGACGACCGAGAAATCCGCATGGAGATCTTCGGCGCATTCTCCGTTCTAGAGGAGGCAAAGGGTCAATCACCATTTGCAGAGAGAATTCTGGGATCGTTCTACAGAGTCATACAGCGATACAATATCCAATATGTTCCGTCTGAAACAAATCCACTACCACGACCCAAGGGAAATACCGAAATCGACCAGTCATCGGTACCTGCAGCTCAAGATGTTCCGACGACGTTGCCAGAACAAGAGGCTATCTTCGAGGTGGACGACCCCACACTTCCTTCTTTCAATGATTTTTTCGAAGAATTCAGCGCCAATGTTGATCCAGGCACCCTTGACTGGGACGCATTGTTTCCCGGACTTGAATCGACATTCCTATCGATGTGATCTCGGAGCGGGAGTTCTACTTCGAACAACGAGTCAATGATTTATGTTCCTTCACGACCCAGCAACGACAAAATACCCACTAGCTCATATGGAATGTAACGAGCAAGCAAGCTAGCAAGAATTAAATGATGCTCTCCACTCCAGGACTCTATGCACTGAGTTCATCGGTACTAAGTCCGCAGCGTTTCGCGGAGTGAAAATTCTACGAGTTTTCTCACGAACCTAGCCCGCAAACGTATGACGCACCTCCTGGTCTATTCAGGCCCCGAGGCCTTTATTTCGCACAGCCCCAGCCCCTCCCCGCCAACGTCCTTACTGAGTTCGCAATACCGCAATCGGCAGTTCGTCGAAATTCGCGTTAGAGATGAAGCTGCGCCCTACTTCAACGGCAGCGAGTTGACGGCAAGTTAGCAGAAAGTGTGACAGACGGGGCTTATTCGATTGGCTATTTGTCCTGCCAACGGGTTATCTGCTCCATGCGGGTGTAACTTAGGCGGATCTGCAGAGAGCCATCAAGTCACAACTGGTTTGACAAGCATGACACGAAGCGAAATTGGAAAATTTGAATCCTGCACGTCTTGATATCATTGGATGAGAAATGTACGCTCGTTTACGTGAATCTCCGGCTCAAACATTCTCCTTGATACATAGCATCATGGATCAAAGCACATATTCGGTTGGTCCAACCGGGCTACGTTGAGCGAGTGGTGATCATTCCTAGTTTTAGTATGCAGAAGGGATATTCTGGAGGTACGTCGGGGATAATCGATCGATCTTAAGAGCCCCGGTAGCCAGTATGACATGGGGATATATGGGTCTATCTTCGTACACGCGTCCTTGATCGCGTACTAGTACTCTTACTAAGATCGCACGATTATCGCTAGAATACATGGATCTGAATAGTTGCATGATGCGATGCAGCTTGCTCGAAATGCATCTACATTCGAAGATCATCGTGCACAGTACTGGGTACCACGTACTGTTTCTGTTTTCTACACATTATCACGCACTGCTATTAAAAAGTCAATTAACATCCACCCTCACTCGTACCTGGGCCCTTCCCGGTTCAATGGGAACAACAAAAATAGTCCACAACGATCGTTGGTGGAGCCAAGTTTAAACGGTCTCCACATGACGACAGGGTCCAGCAGCCAGATTCTTACATCGCGATGAATAGGTTCTGGGTCATTAACCAATACTAGGCATACCTCAACGGTCCTTAGCGTAGGGGGCATCCCATTATATTTCCCCGGCAGAAATATCTTTTTTTATCACTGGCAGTCCCCTATTTGTCCGAAGGGATATAGGCTAGTCGCCTCCCCCTCGGGTACCTGTTTCTGTGCCTTGTGCCTTGCAAACCGGTCAGCGTCAAACGGCGGGAATTAATGAGAACAAAAATGTGGCATCACAACCCCATCAAAGCTGGCGCATCATCCGCCCCATCCGGAGATTAATCAGGCCGAATATCGGCCGTTGGGAAGGACGCACCCACGCCGTGTTCCGTGGTCATAGTCGTCTCGCCACTGAGACTAAGCTGCCCTGCGACAACAGTACGAGTATGCACTTAGGCACAGGCACCGTCCCCCTGGAAAATACTTGCATGCAATTGACCCAATCGATCCACAAGACTGCTAACGGTTACAGGCTACCCCGTCGCAGTGGAGCATCTGAAATGGATCCTTCTCCACGTCTACAGTACAGCATCGGGGCTCTGCTCAAGAATGACGTTTATCCTTTTCTTTGCGGATGACCTCTCCGACTGGGACTCGGGGTCTGTAATCATCTTTCTTTCTAGCTGAAAGGAGTGATAATTGGGTCAACACGCAATCCACAGCGAATATCAATGGAGATTTCTCGACGCTGAGAGGCCGAGCCTTGTTTCTATTCGTCTTTCGCTGTCGACTTCTCGCTCATTATTTGCCTTTGTCCTCGGAGGTATAGCCCGGATCCCTCATCCAGTTTGTTTGAGCGGATGCGCTGGTATTCGTAACGCGTCTCGTTTCTGCTCGCTGTTTGTAGCATATAAGTGCTGTTCCCGGCATCTCCCCGTTTCTCCTCGTTCATTCTCGTCTATCTATTCTATCTGTCTTCCCTCCATCGAACGGAGTACCTAACCCTAACCATCCTTCATCTATCCCAAACTATATAATCATTCATTCGTTATATCCATCTGCCTTACTCGGCCAACCCTCCACAATGAAAAGCTTCGTTGCCATGGCGGCTTTCGCCGCCGGCACAAACGCTCTCGTCGGCCGCACTGACAACTGCTGCTTCCATCTGACCTCAACCGGAGATCTTTCCGGAGACCTCGGGCAGATTGGAGATGGCCAGGTTCGCATTGGCGATAACACACTGCCACAATCATCCTTCTGCATTGATTCCAATGGTGGAATCAGCGACTCATCTGGTCGTGGATGCATCATCACCCGTAAGTACTAGTATAGTTCAAGTTAGTTACCGATTGCACTTGAACTTAACCCTTTCCCGCGATTGATCTGCTATCAATTTCACGTTTTCATGCTTTGAAAGTCTAACTGAGGTCGTACCCCCCTTCTAGCGCCAACTACTCAGTTCCAGTGTGATGAGGGCGCTACGCCCACCCCTGGCTTCTCGGTCTTGTCTTCGGGCCAGCTGGAGTTCAATAATACTGCGGCCTTTATTGCTTGCCAGACTGGTCAGAATGGTGGTCGTAATGTTTATACGACCAACAGTACTTCGGTTACTGGGTGCTCTGGTATCCAGTTGAATGCTGACTCGTGTTCTGGATCTGGTCCTGGCTCTGGTGGCACTCCGCCTGGTGGTGCTGCACCCTCTGGCGGCGCTTCCCCTGGCGGAAGTGGAGGTAGTCCCCCGGGTGGCACCTCGCCTGGCGGTTCTGCTCCTTCTGGTGGTGCTTCCCCTGGTGGAGAATCCCCTGGAGGTGTTGGCCCCAGTGGCACTTCGCCTGGTGGAAGCTCACCATCTGGCGGTACTTCACCTGGAGGCACTTCACCTGGCGGTACTTCACCTGGCGGCACTGCACCCTCTGGCGGTGCTTCCCCCGGCGGAGAATCTCCTGGAGGTGGAAGCTCACCTGGCGGAAGTTCACCTGGCGGCGGCTCTGGATCTTCCGGAATGACTCCCGGTGGTGGCAGTGGTTCACCTGGTGGTGGATCTCCTGGAACTTCTCCTGGTGGTGGTAGTGGTTCTCCCAGCGGTACTTCCCCTGGAGGAGGCTCACCTGGCGGTGGCTCTGGATCCCCTGGAACTTCCCCTGGAGGTGGAAGTGGTTTCCCTGGAGGTGGCTCGCCCAGTGGTAGCTCCCCTGGCGGTAGTTCTCCTGGTGGTACTTCCCCTGGTGGAGGATCTTCTGGAGGAGAGTGCACGACTCAAATTTGCAGCTGTCCTGCGCCTGGCGGTAGTTCCCCTGGTGGTAGTTCCCCTGGCGGTAGTTCTCCAGGTGGCAGCTCTCCTGGCGGTGGTAGTGGTTCACCTGGCGGAGGCTCACCTGGTGGTGGCTCTGGCGGTGGCTCTCCGGGTGGAGGTTCGCCTGGAGGAGGTTCTTCTGGTGGTAGCTCTCCTGGTGGTGGTTCTCCTGGCAGTGGTTCACCCGGTGGAGGCTCTACAGGCGGTGGCTCTCCAAGTGGAGGTTCGCCTGGTGGCAGTTCTGGTGGTGGCTCTCCTGGAGGCAGCTCTCCAGGTGGTGGTTCTGGCGGTACCCTACCTGCCCGGAAGCCCACCTTCTGGCGGAGGTGGAGGCTCTCCCGGTGGTGGTATCAGTTCTCCCGGCGGCGGCTCACCAACCTCAATCCCTGGTGGTGGCATTCAACCATCAAGCTCCGGTGGTTCACAGCCAACTGGCACTGCCAGTGTGCCTCCTACCTCCTCCACCCCCAGCACTCCATCATCCACCGGCTCTTCAAGCGGCAGCTGCCCTACTGACCTCTCGGGCAACTATGAAAAGCCTCACTTGATTGTTGCCATTGACTCATCCTCCCCGACACCACCGCCGGAACAGGGTCCAATGGTACCGTGACGTCGACAGTCTCGAGTGTTTTCAACTTCGACATCCCGGCCTCCGACACTGGAAAGACGTGCAGTCTGGTCTTCCTCTTCCCCAAGCAGCAGGATCTTGAGACCTCGTCATTCACCTTCAGTGGTGATGGGAAGATCGACTTTGCCAAGTTGTCTCGTGCTGTGAGCACTTCGACCACATTGAGCAACCTTCCTCCTGTTAGTCAGGATCTGGGGACGATCACTGTTTCCCCGGGCAATTCGTATGTCGTTTCGACATTCCCTTGCCCTAGTGATCAGAGTGTTGCCTTTGAGATGAAGAATGCTGGAAGTACTGAGTTGAAATTCTTTGAGGATTTCAATCCATCTCCGTAAGTGGTTCAAGTTGTCTTTTGTGTGAGGATGGAGGCTAACATATTGATTCTTTTTCCAGGCTGGGTCTGTTCATCACCGTGTGCTAAGTGTAGATGTTGGTGGTAATGCGGTGTATTATTGTGATTGTTGTTCCTGTAGTTCTAGTACCTGTTTAGTTTTGAGTGTTTTTGAGTGTTAGTGTGTCTGTGTGTCCGATATAGTGCACATTTGGCATCTTTTTGTCCAATTTGAGGTGGCTCGTGCCCAGTTTCCCTTCCAGCAGTATTTTTTAGTTCCGTCCCGTAACTCTCGTATGTACCTTAACGTTAATTATGCTGCCTGGGCCAGAGTGGATCGAGGGTATCAAATGTATCAAATGACAGTTGGAGGTCCACCCACGTTGTGTGCAAATTTAACAGCCTACGAGTATGCAAGGCTTGTCTAATACTGGAGAATTCCATTCTATTCATTCCACACATCTCATCCATCTCATTCTCTCGTTCTGGGCGGGGCCAATAATGACGATCAGCGGGCATCAGTCTAGACTCTGCCAGTTCCAGTTTCAGTTTCCAGTGCGAGAACTCAGCCACTTTACTCCGTGACCATGTAAATTCTGGCCATTCGTCCATTCATTTATTCATTTATTCATTTATTCGTTTCTTCAGTCATCACCTATACTATAACTACTACAACTACCGAATATAATACCCCATTGACTCCAGCCCATCGATCGCCAAGAACCACGCCCAACCTTGTTGGCGCTCAGGCACGCGACCGCTCTTTGTCTGCCTAATTTGAGATCCATTCGAGTTTCTCCTTATCTCTTCCCAGTTCTATTTGATCGCTGTTCTCTTCTGCTCTGTTCCGATCTGGGATTGATACAATTGTGTTGTTTCCTCCCACGATGGAGCTTCCGGCCAAATTGCCCTTCTCGAAGCGGCGCCTCCGACCGCGCGTGATCATCTCGTTAGTTCAAGTTTCCCTCTTCCTTCCACTCTTCTCTTCTCCATTGATAATCGGCACACACTGACCAACTCTCCAGTTATATCTTCGACTATGTCATTCTCATGTACATCACCACCTCCACAACCTCAACCTCCACCTCCACCCATTGACCCGCTAACCCACCCAGTGCCTGCGTGATCGGCTTCGCCATCCTCGACTCCCTCGAACCCTACCACCAACACTTTGCCCTCCAAAACTACACCCTGCAATACCCCTACGCCGTCCACGAGCGCATCCCAATCGCCTACGCCCTCTGCATCTCCGGCGCCTTCCCCCTCGTCCTGATCATTGTCTACACCCTCTTCATCGATGGCATCTTCTCCCACAACAAGCAAGATCCCGTCTCCGGCAAGCGCAAGCTGCGCGGGCCCTGGCGTTGGAAGGATCGTCTGTGGGAGATGAATTGTGGTATCCTGGGCCTGTTGCTGTCCCAGGGAGTCACCTTTGTCATTACCCAGGCGCTCAAGACAGCGTGCGGCAAACCGAGGCCGGATCTGATTGATCGCTGCCAGCCTCTAGCTGGGAGTGTTGATCCTCCGATGTATGGATTGTCGAACTCCAGTATTTGCACGGGGGATCCGAAGATTATCAAGGATGGATTTCGATCTTGGCCGTCAGGTGTGTTTCTCCCCATTTTCTACTGTCCAATTTCACGCGAAAGAAGAAGCTAACATCAGTCAACACAGGTCACAGTAGCTGTACGTGAAACCACCCCCTCCACCTCCACACCCACCCTCCCAATGCCACTCCCACTGCCATCACCATCACCATATCACATACTAACAATACCAGCCTCCTTCGCCGGCCTCTTCTACATCGCCCTCTGGCTCGGCGGCAAACTCCACATAATGGACAACCGCGGCGAAGCCTGGAAAACCCTCCTCTGCATGACCCCCATCCTCGCCGCAACCCTAGTCGCCGTATCCCGAATCATGGACGCACGTCACCACCCCTTCGACGTTATCACCGGCTCAATGCTCGGCACACTTGTCGCCTTCGTCGCATACAGACAATACTTCCCACCGATCACGGAGTCCTGGCGCAAAGGACGCGCATACCCGATTCGAACCTGGGGAACCGGACCCGTCCACCCGAACGATCCTCTCGGCATGAAATTACTCTCGTCGCAAGAGGCTCTGCATAATCCGGAGACGGAGCGGCTTAGTCCCGCGAATGAGAATTTGAATGCTGGTTCACCGCTGAATCCGAATCAAAATCCGAATACGAATTTGATGGCTGCGGCTGCGGCTCCGGCCCCGTCGCCGTATGGTAATAATGGAAATCCGTTTGTTGCGGGTCCTTATCAGCGTCGGAGGAGACATGATCATGATCCGGATGGGAATTGGTCGTCTAGTGAGGAGGATGTCGTGGATGGGTATGAGATGCAGCATGGTTATAACATGTCACAGCAGAATGTGAATCGATTTTATCCACCGCAGTATGAGAGTGGTGCGGGTGGTACGGCGTATCAGTCGCAGACTCAGGGTGTTCCTGTGGGTGCTGGTGCTGGCATGGGAATGGCTACGTCTACACCGGCTGGTGTGCATCATGATCACGGTCGACCGCTGACTGATACCCCGATTCGCGATGTTTAGGGATGGGATATAGTATAGACCTACAACCCCTGCCCTTGATTTTATGACTGCATTGCATTGCAGCTGTGATGGATATTGTATGATTATAGAATAGCGTTTTCGTTTATCACTTTGAACACGACTTTCTTCTACCTTCACACCAAACAATATTTATATCTCGGTTACTGTTACTGTTACTGTTACTGTTACTATTTCCATTTCCGCTCAGCACGATTCTTCCCATTCTGCCTTGTGATGACGGTCATGATATCCTATCTCATTATGAAAAGTAGCATACTCCTACTTGTCCATTAACTTATCCTATCCAAAACCATCCCATCAATCTCTCCTCTCCTCAGTCCCCTCTCCATCAACCCCCTCAATAACCCCAACCCCATCAAACAAAGTACTAGTAATACTCCCCGCCGGACTCCTTGCAAAAGAATAAGGCGGCGGACTCAACCCACCCACCATAAACCCCATCCCAACTTCCACCGAAGGAACCATAACCATCGGAGCGGCAATCTCAACAGTCGCAGCACCCTGCACCTTCAAGCGTAAGACGAGCGTGTATGTTCGTGAGATGCGGCAGGAGTGGAAGGTTGGTATTATGAATTGGTGGGCTAGTTTGACTGGGACTAGAAGTGTTGATGTGAAAGATTGGGAGGGTATCTGGACTGGCGACGCGGATTCAATTTCAGGCATGGATTGGCTTGGACTTGCACTTAGGCTTGGACTTGAGCCATTGTTGATATTGGTATTGGTATGATTCTCACCACCACCACCACCACCACCACCCGCAACAGCCCACTGCAATGAAGTAATCGAATGCGTGAATTCCGTGAGGACTTTCTCCGCATAATTCAATTTCGTACCGAGTCTGTCTCGCTTTTTGCGCGGGAGGTTGGTGTTGGGCTTTTTTGTGAAGAAGGTATTTGCTACTACGCTTCCGCGGAGGGATTGGATTTGTGGGAGGGTGGTTGGTAAGGTTGAGTCTGTGCTAGCGGCACTAGGACTCGTATTTTGATCATCTTGGTTGGGATTTGGATTTGATTCTCGCTCAAAGTGGAGATTTAGTCTTATTGCCTGGCGGACGGAGGCGTCTGTTTCGCGGACGGGAATGTCAAAGTATGGCGGGGCGATGATTGTTGTTGTTAGTTGGCCTATTTTGGTCTTTGATTTTGATTTTGATTTGGAGAGTGGATTTGAGCTGGGAATTCGTTGGTAGATGTCGATTGTTTGTTGAGGGTGGGGATTCGGTTCTCCAATTTCGCTATCCGCCGATGCTGATGCTGATCCTGATGCTGTCAGAGGTGATAACAATGCCGATAGCGATGGCGATGGTGAAATCGACGGTGAAAGTGACGGCTGATCCAAGGCCAATGAGGTCGAAGGCTTGAGTCTTATTTTGAGACTTTTCTGTAAGATAGTCTGACTTCTTTCGGTAGCTGAGACTTCGACGGGTGAGTCTGGCTTGAATTGTATATACAATTCTGCAATTTGAAGGCGCGTAGTCGTTTCGTAGTTTGCCGCCGAAACCGGCGACGTCCGGGTCGCCGAAGCTTGGAGGGGCTTGCAGGTGGAATTGGCGGGTGAGGTCGTTTTCCACAGTGTGGGTGCAGGATGTTGGGGAGAGAGTGTCGGGGACTTGGAATGTGAAGCGGAAGAAGTACTTTTGGTTCTTTTGTATGATGTTTGACGGTGGGAGTGCGGTGGTTGGGACTGGATATTGCTCGTGGTGGAATTGGCGGGGATTTCGATCGTGTCGCACGGTGGATTCTTCGCCTGGTTGATGGATTAATTCCTGTTTACTGGATATGGAGGATCGCATAGGTTAGGGCGGGTTCTACCTATGAGGAAGATATCTAAAGACTCGAAATGGAGGTCGCTGTCCGATCTGATAGAGATGGAGCCTTGAATGGCATCACCGGCGTGATAAGAATAGTGATAGGACGAGACGGAGTCGGGGGGATCTCCAAGAAGAATGTTCAAGGAGATGGAGTGGCTGACATCGATGGTGGTCATTTTGGTATTAATAGAGTATAAATAATACTAGTTGATGCTTCATTGTCGAGGATGCAAAGACTTGGTTGCCAGGATGAATGTTTTCTCTCTGGTTGAATGAGGTCGCAAAGCTCGTGTTCAGATGACTCACGGGCGAGCTATACTAAACTGTACCATGATATGCCATGCTATAGTCTTGGCTTGGCAGACCGAAGGCCAATTAGATCCCGAATCACTGCAATGATTGCTTTGCAGACCGTGCATTGTACTTGTAGAATGGATGAGGGTGTTTGATATAAGCCGTGGAGGAAGACTTCCTTATACCCTATCCAGCATAAGTACTATACAAAATCATATTCCACGAATAGAGTTCACATCTATCGGAGTCCATTGTAAAAATACCAGGGTCTGGGTCTTTGATCCGGGATTTACAGACGAAGTGGGGAGAAAAGTGGAGAGAATCAGGGTCTGCAGTGATGGCCTTGCTGCCTGAGAAAACTGGCTCTCTTCAACTGTCTTTGTTGATGTTTCCGAGTGCAAAAGAGTATAAAGTGGACCTACCGTGGTAGAGAGTAGAGGGTAGAGAGTAGAGAGTAGGTACTGCCCGAGATCCACAGCTCAAACAGAGTATTGAAACAATAGGATGCTTAGTGAAACAGTGAAATAGCTGTGTACTTCCCATGATGTGCAGTGATGTGCATTGCCATTGAGTTCGACTCCACTGGTTGCCACTGCAACGCATCAGCAGGAGTACAAAGTGGTGTGCACTGATGTATCGAGGAATAAGGATGGCCTATCACATCAGGGATTACTCCATAAGTCCATGCAAGACATTAATTAAATTAATGGAGGGGCTGACTGACACTGGAAGGAGTCGGGCAAATTAAGGCGATTCAATGGGGGTTGCCCAGGTTTCCCAGCCACCGAGTCCCTCCTCCACCATACAGCGAAGCCATTCCCAGCCTCCTCTTACGCACCCCCCCCGCCCAATATGACGCTCTTTTCTCGCCCTTCCCCTCCTCTTCTTTTTCCTCTTCTCCATCCTTCCTGCATCTCGTGCATCGCATCGCATCGCATCCAGTCCAGTCCAGTCCAGTCCAGTCCTCTGTACACTGTGATCCCAACTCTTTCCATCTCCACGTGATGCTGGTGTAGCTTGAGATCAACAACTTCTTTGTACACCCAATTCCTGGCTGGGAATCTGATACCACTGGATCCCACTGGACTGCCACCCTTAGACTTTTTCACATTCCTCGGTTCGGTCCGTCTATCGAGATCCTCGGACTCGAAGATCTATCGCAAACATGTTCGGCAGCCTCTTCTTTATCTTTAACCGCCTGGTGGAAATCGTCTTCCTGATTCCCATCATCGGCATTCTGGTATGTCATCAGATGCGCCCTGCCTGCGTTTGCGCGGGCGCGCGCTCTTGCAAATTCCCTCCGCTAACTCCCACCCCCTCCAGGCCTATTTCGTCCATGGCTATCTCCAAGCAAACATCCTCGCCCCGCCCTACATTCTGGTCATGTTCATCGTCAGCGTCCTAGCCGTCTTCTGGTGTCTAGACACTCTGATCCGGTACAGTTCGACCAAGCGCTCAGCAATCTTCGTCTCCTTCGTGGACCTGCTCTTCTTCGGCGCCTTCATCGCAGCCGTTTACCAACTCCGCTTCATCGCCAATTCCGACTGCGGACACTGGGAAGGCGGCACCAACTCAGTCTGGGTTTCGCTGGGCCCATTCGGCGAGTATGGCGCTCGCATCGATAGTCCCGAATACAAGCTTAACAAGACATGCGCCATGCTGAAGACTTGTTTCGCTATGGGTATTATGGAAGTGATCTTTTTCAGTTGGACTGCTTTCTGGGCACTTTTCATTCATACTCGTTCGCGCGAAGTCGTTGTTAAGGAGACTCATGTTCGTCGTCGGAGTCACTCCAGTCGTCGGGGACACTCTTCTGGTGGATCGCATCACCGTCATCGCTCTTCGAGCCGGCGACCCGCTTATGTGGTTTGAGCGGGTGATGATGTGATTGTGTATAGGATTCGGTGTTGGGTTTTATTTGTTGTTTCCGGCCCCGAAATGGGCGGGCTTTGTGTTTCTTTTACTTGGTTTCCTTTTCGTTTCTTTTCAAGTTGTTCTCTCCTCTGGAACAACTACTTACGACTACGACTTACGATGAATGGATTAATGAGGATATGTTGCTGGGAACATCTCCGGGATTATGAGCAGATGTCAAGAGAGAGAAAAAAGAGTATCTACCTGGAACGTGGGGGGTCGTCCATAGTTTCTATCCTAGCTAGTTTTGTCTTCGTCAACAATATGAATCAATGATGCCAACCGATCTCTTCTAGCATTTGCACTGGCATATCCAGACTCAACTCAACCCATCCCACCCCCCACCTCCAACTCCACCTCCGAGTCATTCCTGTACCCACATTTCCCCAACCAGTTAGTAAACCGACTCCGAGATGCCAGTAGCTCAATTCAATCGTCCGAGGGTATCCGAGTCCGGTGAGCGACCGGGTAGGCTATTATAATCTTCGACTAACGCTGCTCAAAAAATCCCCCCTCTTCACATATTTCACATTCAATCTTATCAAAATGGACCCTTCTAACTACGCCCTACCACCAGGATCCCGAATCCTCGTCACTGGAGCAAATGGCTACATCGGCACACACGTCGTCGACCAACTATTAGGCCTGGGCTACGCAGTGCGGGGCACACTCCGGACAGAAAAGCCGTGGCTAAACGAATTCTTCGCGAAGAAGTATGGAGCGGGTTCTTTCGAGACGGTACTCATAAGATCTTTTGAGAATCACGATGAGATTGAGAGTGCACTCGAGGGAATTGATGGACTTATTCATTTGGTAAGAAACTCCGCCCGATGGAGGCAGATTGCGTTCGATAGGGTTGTATCATCGTGTATTAATTCCAATTCGATACAGGCCTCGGATGTCTCGTTCAATAACGACCCCAAAGCCGTAATCCCATGGGTCGTCAAGGCCACACAGGATCTGTTGAAATCCGCTGCCTGTCATCCTTCTGTTAAGAGGGTTGTTTTGGCATCTTCGTCTACGGCGACGTATCTAAGTTGGCCTGATGCTAGTGGAAGAACGATTGATACTGGTAAGCGACTGACACATGGTTGCTTTAAAGTGACTCGCAAATAGCCCGAGAAGCGTGAGCTGTATACCTAACGACTTATCCAGATACTTGGAACGACGCCGCAGTTGCAGCAGCATGGGACGAAAATACCGATCCACAGAAGAAGCCGATGATGGTATATTCTGCCTCTAAGACAGAAGGTGAACGGCAGGCTTGGAGGTGGATTGAAGAGAATCGTCCTTCTTTTGTCTTCAATGCTGTTCTACCTTGCTTCAATGTAAGTCTCCATCACCAGGCCTCACATTTATGGCTAGCTCCGAGGATACCCTTATTGGAGCATTGATCTAATTCATTTCGAATAGGTTGGTAGATATCTTCATCCAGAAAACACGGGGTCGACAATGGGTTTTGTTCGTCAATTGTTGAAGGGTGATTCCGCTGCATTCATGATACCAGAACGTATGTATTGCATCCAATAACTATACTCGCAATGCCAGTGAGATAAACACACGAACGAATCGAATACTAACCAAAAACTGGCACAGAATGGCGCGTCGATGTCGAAGACGTCGCTCGACTATTCGTCGTCGGCCTCTTAGATCCGGGCGTACAGTCCGAGCGAATCTTCGCATTTGGCGAATTGGCTCATTGGGCTGATATTGTTTCTCAGCCTTCGCGCGCTTCGTCCGGAGAACAAGAGTATCCCTGATGTTCCGGGGATATTCCTGAGAGATGCAACGGTTGTTCAGCCGCGGGATCGGGCGGCGGGGTTGTTGAGGAGCTTTTATGGGCAGGATGGATTTACTACTATCCTGGAGAGTATTGAGAGGGGGATTGAGGGGTTGGAATAGAAAGGAATTCCGGTTCTATTGCAATGATTTAACACACCATCGCAATGAAATAGAATAGAATATACTCCGTATTCGTTTTCCGGTTCAGTTATAGTCCGACTTGGCAAATCTATTGTTGGTGCCAATACGAGCGACCTTATGTTATTGTGGTAGTGATCAGCCTCGAGATTCGTATTGAGCCGTCTGAGGCTAGCAAGGAGTCTCGCGAGCAGTTTGTATAAAGTCGGACAATGCTCACGAGGAGGCCAATTTCCATTGAGACTCCTTGAAGTTTAATTTCGAAAATGATCTCTCTGAACTGGAAAACCCTTGGTCTTGCCGTATTCGGCGTTTTCGCCAGCATCCACTCCACTTCAGCTGAAGTCGCTTCTACAAAGGCATTCGATCTTTCGAAACCATCCTATGATCTGTTCCGAAGCAAGAAGCTTCATGACGCGACAGTTCAACAAGGTTTCGCGTTCGATAATGACAATCGACGCTTATTCGTTGCGCAGCGACGAGATACCTCGTCTGAAACATCTGGCGATCTATGCATCACCCAGCTTGACTTCGATGGCAATTATGTCGGATACATGTACCTGACCGGTTTCGGCCATGGTGTTTCCTTCGGCACCCAGGGTGTTGGATCGTCGACATATCTGTGGACAGAGGTTGAGGCCAATGGAAATGGATACGGGAAGAAGCTAGCACGATTCAAGTTCGTTAGCGGAACTACTCTCACCTCGTCTTCCTCTTCAATTAAGAAACTCAAGCCCGTTTCAGACGCCACCGAACACACCTGCTCCATTGATCCGGTCCCCAACCACCTCATCGTGCGATATAACCTCAGCGGTGGGAAGCATATCGCCGTCTACGACCTTGACGACGCGACCGATGGAAATTTCACCAATCCATTGGCGGATTTTAAGCACCCCTCGGTGTCAACAAAATCGAGTACTTTCCAAGGATACGCCGCGTTTGGGGAGTATATCTATTTGTTGACGGGGAATTCGTACCCGGATAGTAGTGAGGGCAAAATCAATTCTGAGATCACTGCCGTAAATATGAACACGGGTGCTGTTACTCAAGGTCCGACACTGACAAAGGCTGGCTCGACTCTTTCCTTCCGTGAACCGGAGGGATTGGCTATCTATCGGACTGTGGCTGGTGAAGTGAGGCTTTTCTTGGGATTTGCGTCGGGTGAGGCGGGTGATCGGAGATCAAATCTATTCTATAAAAATGCTTTCCTCTAAGCATTCGGTGTATATTAGTTCGATATAACTTGAAGGGAATTTCCTTTCGTATTTTGAGATCAATGTTGCTCTATTTCAACTCTTTAACCTTAACTTCTTTTCTCCACAATTCTCACCCTTCCAAGGCTGTCGGTAAATATCCGGCATATCCACTTGTCGCTCGGGAATTCCAAACACCCCGCATCGACTTCAACTTGCTCAACATCAAATCACCACTCAAGTAACTGCAATCACAATGAGGGTCACCATTCACCCACGCAACCCACCTCCCCTCGAGGATCTAGCAGCCGTCATTGAAAAGTCCCTCCAGTCTGAATTTCAGGAGCGCCACCGCAAGCGTGGAACAATGTCCCGACCTACGCCAGCCGCCCTTCAAATTGGCCGCCCCGGGAATATCAGGGAACTCGTGTGTAGCCGATATTGGCGGTCAACCTAACCTATTTCCAAGCCCGAATTTCGACGCCAAATACTCCCTTCTGGAGCTAGCCAAGGAAATGCAGATGTCACCGTCTGGTGGATTTCTTCTCGGCGCTGGCGCGGCTCCATTTCAAGATTTGGGCCACAATGCAGAGCTTGCTCCGAATATCTCTTGGAAATCGGAGCATGCCTCCCCGGACTTCAATGATGCTTCCACTCTTGAGATTCGAAATGATACTCGCGTAATCGAGGTCAATGAGGTCAAGTCGCCTTCTTGTGAAAGGATCCAAAGTACAAATTGTGCTTTAATGATGAACTTGTATGGATCCAGTGGCCATCCAGGCCCAGTTCTCAAGGTTACAGCCAGAGGTCGTCTTGGAAATTTGAACTTGACTAATTGCATTCGTCTGGGATTAAATGATGCGTTTGGTGACCAAATGCCGATCAGTCTGGGTGGCGTGTTCTTATTGAAGAAGGGCAAAGCAAAATTCCATGTGATGCCTGATTTTCCGAACAAGGAAGACCTACCGTTTCGCGATCGTGGACAAATTGAAAAGGAGTGGTTGACTTATCATGAATTTGAGGCTCCTATTGTTTGTTTGACTGTTTTTCATAGCTCCGATCCAGAAGGTTTGGGTCTTAGGATGGAGCATACGCATTGCTTTGACGCCGAGGGAAATACAAAGGGAGGCCACTATCATTACGATATCCAAGATGATGAGCAGGAAGTGGAATATGAGGCGTACCTGCTCCCTGGGTATACTTTGTATCGAATCGATCAGCCAAGTTCGTGAGTGAAATTGAATACTAGATAATATTGAAGCGTAAACTCCCTAGAGTTTGTTCGAGCATCTGCCATCCAGATTACTTCAACCCTGAATTCCGCGTGCTCGGATATCGTTTTCAAACCCTACCCTTAAGAAATAGCCTTTGTAAGCTTACCCACCCAAAGAAAGATGGGAAAGTGGAACTTTCCGAAGTCAGTCCCTGGTGTTCATCCGAAGCTTTTTTCTCAACTTCGTAGAATTTCCAAGAACGTAGAAACCATGCCCCAACCGAGCCAACAAGGAACAAACACCCAACATAAACCTGTGTATGAATATACCTGGATCCACCGCTCACAAGACTCAATGCGATGGGCTCAGCAACTGTAGTTGGGCCAACCAAAGCCAGACAGATAACGCTAAAGACCGACGCCATGCGACTCATGCCAACGACTTCTGCCAGAACCGGTGTAATCGTTCCCCAGAACGTCCCACAAACCATCCCAGCCATCAAGGCGAATAGAAGCAGCACTGCGTATGACTTTGCCGGGATCCAGATGGCAAAACATAGCAATCCACAGAGCCCCGTTAGCACCATTGGGACTGTGATCCGACCGTGCCGATCGCTTAAATATCCTGTTAATGGCCTGCCCAAGGTGAGGCCCAAGTTCAGAATGGCACCAGTCACCGAGCCCTGTTGTGGAGAAAGACCAATTGAAGAAGCATAATTCGGGAGTGAGTAAATCAGAGCAATATAGCCAAGGTCGGTAGTTATTCCCCACAGAATGACAAGTAGGACCTCCGGCTTTCCAAGATCGCGATAATCGACATTGCGCTTTCGTTCTTGTCTTTGTGGAGTATCTCTTGACTTGAGTAGCAAAGAAGATAGCAGGTTCGCGGCCAGCGAGCAATATGCCAATATCCTATAAGCCTCCCGGACACCCTGCTTTTCAATAGCGTAGCCAGTTGCGAGACTGTACACGATTCCGCCAATCCCAGATCCAGCACCGGCAATGCCAGCCGCGAAGCTCCGGCGCGTCGAAAACCAGGTCGGAAGGATATTCATCGCAGTGAGATAGAGAAACCCCATACCGATACCAAAGCAAATACCCTGAGATAAAAATAAATGCCAGATCTTTGTTGAATACGAAGCCGCCATCAAGGAACCGAAAACAAAAATCGTTCCAATGAGCAAAGTAATAGTCGTGCCCAATTTCCGTCTAGACTCTGACGCTATCGGTCCCATCAATAGTGCCTGGGCTATTGCAAGACCGCCAATCAATGCATATTCGATGCGGCTTGCTCCGGGGAATGTCGAGTGCGAGAGAAAATAGGCGAGTATCACACCCCAGGCTGCGTTGATGCCCCAGGTATGAACGGTGATCATGAAGGTGCATAGCGTGCAAAGCCAGCCGTATCCGCCATTGGGTGGTATGTCATCGAATGCTGTGGCGTCTGCTGTTGAAGCACCACTCTGCTCCAGGTCGCTCGGTCCTTGACTGGCTGAGGGTGGGTGGAAGTGATGTGCTGTTGGGGCGAGTTCAATCGTAGTCATGTCGACCAAATCTGGTGTGGCAGCCCGGAATTCTAGATATTTCAAGTTCCTGGCGGATAATAGTAGACTAGATGACCTCGGGACCTCGGGATACTGCAGCTGATTTGAATTCACGACAATTTTCACGACCCGGGGAAGTCGTAATACCTCCAGGGTCGGGGGGCTTCTCAATATATATATCCAATCTGAGGAATAAAGGTTTGATGGAATAATCTGAGAAACTTGAACTTGACTGCATGATTCTGGATCTAGAACAAATTCTATCGGCAGCTATGTCCAATCATAATAGCACGAGATCTGCGTGACTCAACACTTTGTCATTGAATTGATCAATTAGAGTGACAGATTAGGGAAAGAATTCCACCGCCCCACACCTGAGACCACTCGGAACCTTGGGCCGGGCCACGGACACCTAGGCAAGCGAGGATATGCAAGCCCTGGATAATGCATGAACTAGATAAGCGGGGCTCGAGTCTGTAGTTTTGGTAACTTGGGCTCATCAAATCTGGAAAATCAAAGAAGGAAGTTCAAAAGCTTTCGAATCCGAGTGCCGGGCACCGAAGCGGGAAAAGATGGAGAAAGGGTTTTGGATTTCCGAGTATATCAAGCTTTAGAAATTACTAGTTCGCTACCATAGTGGCGGCAGATATCTTGCCCTGGTCGATTGTAGTGAAAGGTGCTGCAAAACCATAGGTTTTATAGCCCTGCGAATAATCCTTTCCTTCCACGCGCTCTAAATGTGTGTTGATATTTAGTTAAATATTCCGGTATCTTTGAAGTTGAAGGGACTGAAGCTTACCATGTTCAGGGGGAAACATTTCCATGCGATGCTTGTAATAGCGTTCTCTCAAATCAAGTCCATCCTTAGTAGAATGGAACGTAGCATAAAGACTGGATCGCGGCTTATCGGTCTTATTCTCTGCCGATCGATGTGCGAGATGTGAGCCAAAGATGATCATGTCTCCCGGCTGCAGCGGAATCGAGACCCATTCGTGGGCAGATTCCCATTCGGTCGTAATCTGTCCACCTTGAGAGAACTCTGCAACCATTTTATGTGATCCGGGGACAACTTCGAGGCAGCCGTTTTCAATTGTCGCAGGGTCAATAGCTATATTTGCAGTGACGTGTTCAATCCGGCCGATATGGTCATATGCTGGGGCATCCAAGTGAGCTTTGAATCCATTGCCATTGGATTGCTTGTAATTGATTTTGTCCTTGAAAAGGAGCATGTCCTGTGATTCGGTTTATTAGCCAAATTTGTGCGGGTTGAATCGCGTTCTCGGAGGGAACAAACATCACCAGACACGGCTTTTAGAATTTGACCCAATTTCTCGCCGCAGATGAGACTCTTATACTGAGGGTGAAAATCGACGAAGCGCTCCGTTCGCATAAGTTGACGCTCACCGTTGACGTTAATCTCGTCGTATGGCATCCATTTACCCTTCACGCGAGGCCAAGCCTGAATTTCTCTGGTCCACTCTTCGAGACTAGCTGGGTCCACAAGCTGGTGCTCGGCGACACGTAAAAGGAGGTAGCCATTCTGGTGGTAAAAGGCCACTTGGTCGGGTGTAAGGCAGCTCATAGTATGTGAGGGGCTTGGCTCTCTGAAAATGCGGCAGAAATTGAAGCAATAATGTTTGGTGAAGTACGGCTGCGGGTGAGTTTAAATAGCTTAAGCCGCCGGGACCAACGGGAGCAGTACAACCAACCCCGAGAACCGCAATCCCCGGTTCTGGTATAGTCAATTGTCTGAATCGCGCTATAATTCTAATGATCACCCGTTTTACTGCTCCACTCCGGTCATTTTACCTTGGGAGCGTTCTTCCCGACTGCACGGACCGCCGGCCTTCGCACCGACGCCTTCTTGCCATCAGCGGTAGCGCCACGGATCGCGGGAACTAGAATACAAAAAGTGAGGAATCAGACACTTGCTTTCTGCACGTGTTATCTGGACTCCAATACCTGCCGGACTTCTTGCCTCTAGCATCTCTCCGTCTTCTATAGAACGTGTTGGGCATCGCCTCAAGCCACGCATTATACATCACACTTGAATAAACAGCAAACATGAATCTCAAAATAGCGGTTTCTCAGTCAACCCAAATTTTGCCTTCAGTTGAAAAACATACGAGGAATACGATAAAGACACTTTTCCAATTTCTCCACGCTCAAGGCCAGGGCGATTATCTCGGCGAAAGAGTCACCCAATTGGCTCATTCTCTTCAATGCGCGAATCATGCAGCTCAATCTGCACAATGCGGACAGGATCCTGAAGTCATTCTTGCCGCATTGCTTCATGATGTTGGCCGCTTCATTCCTGCCGCGGAAAAGATGGGAAAGATGATCACGCCGGATGGTCATTATATTGGACGACAAAGTCATGAAATTCTTGGCGAGTCTTATCTACGTCAGATCGGGTTCAGTGAAAGGATCTGTCAGCTTGTCGGGGCTCATGTTATGGCGAAGCGATATCTCGTTGCTACAGACAAGACCTATCATGATGGGCTTAGTGAGACAAGCAAGAAAACTCTCCGGTTCCAGGTACATCAGCTCTTACCAGTTCAACTGGAGATAATTGAAGCTAATGATCGTTCAGGGTGGAGGTTTCACCGATGAGGAGGTTCTCGAAGCTCAAAAGGATCCTTGGCTTGGAGAGAAAATAGCCGTCCGTAGGTGGGATGACCTATCAAAGGATCCGGATATTCTTGTGCCTGCACTTGAGGCCTACGAAGAGATCGCATATGAATGCCTACTAGGTTCAAAATACTTCCCGTCATGAAAAGCGACAGCTAATGAAATTTAGAATCCCGAGGAAAATTCAAGCTTCACTCCAGGGAGTACCGCATTCCGAGTAAGCCCACCGTTGTCATATGCATCGATGGGTTCGACCCGCAGTATCTCGAGTCCGCTTTTGAGAGAGGCCTGTTACCGACATTCAAGAAGTTCGTTGATTATGGATTCCATTCCACAGCGAAAAGTTGCATGCCCTCTTTTACCAATCCGAACAATGTATCCATCATCACTGGTGCACCCCCAGCCGTCCACGGAATTGCTGGGAACTTTTTCCTTGATCGGAAGACGGGGAGGAGAAGATGATAACCGATGACTCGCTTCTGAGAGGATCTACTCTACTCGAGCAGATGCATCAACGCGGTGTGCGTATCGCTGCTATCACTGCCAAGGATAAGCTGTGGAGAATCCTGGGACATGGTCTTAACAAGGGTGCCATTTGCTTTTCGGCCGAGCATGCGGCTGATTGTACGCTTGAAGATAACGGCATTGATAATGTGGAGGAATGGCTAGGTCAACCTGCTCCAAGCCAATATTCAGGAGAGCTGTCCCTCTTTGTCCTCGACGCGGGAATAAAATTACTCCAGGAAGGACGATCGGACTTTCTTTATCTTACGCTGTCTGACTACATTCAGCACAAGTATCCACCTGGAAGCAAAGAGGCGGATGCATTCATGGGCTCAATTGACGAGCGACTTCATACACTTGCTGGTCTTTCTCCTATCATCGGGGTCACCGGAGACCATGGAATGAGCCAAAAGTCGAATAGTGATGGCGAACCCAATGTCCTCTTTCTGGAAGAAGTCATCAACAATGAATTTGGATCAGAGTTCTCCAGGGTCATCTGCCCGATAACGGATCCATTCGTTCGGCACCATGGCGCGCTTGGCTCATTTGTCCGAGTCTATTTGAAAGATATCACGAACTTGCAGTCCGTACTCTCCTTCTGCCGCGCTATCCCCGAGGTTGAGGAGGCTTTGAGCGGACCCGATGCAGCGAACAAGTACGAGATGCCGCTTGATCGCGAAGCTGATATTGTCGTCATATCGAAGGACTTTGCAGTCATTGGAAGTAAGAAGTCTGATCATGATATTTCTAAGGTCAAGGATCACCCCCTGCGTTCTCATGGCGGTCTGAGTGAACAGAATATTCCACTTCTCATGTCGAAGGCCATTAAAAGCACAGATGAAAAGGCTAATGGTTGGAGAAACTATGATGTTTTCGATCTTGTTTTGAATTTTTGTTGATATATTCAAGTTATGAACCCAATGGCATACCCCGTGCACTAGATCCTACCGCTGCATTATAATGAAGCCACCATTCGTCTAGATCGGGAAAATTGGTCTGAAAGTCAAAGCTCGCCATATTTTCCATCCAGGCTGTATCAAACTGGGCGTGCGGGTCCATTGCTGGGGACGGCTGATACATTATTCCTTCGTTCGTTGATTGCATCGGAGGCCGGCATTTGTAGAGAAGCTTCTCTAGACCTTCCGAGACTGTAACTAGCAAATGCTGGCGATGCATTGCCTGGGTTATTTCTCGAAGGGCAGCTACCGTCTGAGAAACAAGAGATATGATCTTTTCGGTGTCAATCCGTATCACAGCTGCATACTTAGTAGCCACCTTCAAAAGAAAGACCACTGCAAACGCGAGCATCGTGTCGAAGTATAAGGGAAGACCATTCATAAATGACCGAAATTCCGGGTCCGAGACCATGACTCGGAGAATTGACATGGCAGAAAGTACACCGGAATTGGCGATCTCTTCCAGCTCGGGAGAAAAATATTGCGTCGCGTTCTCGAGGGCTGGGACTCCGCGGAATGCATGTGAACAGAGATAGAGCTTCGCGAAGTGGAAATGAAACCCAACTCCCTTGGCCGGGTAATTTCCCACCCGACGATTTTCTTGAAAGCTTTCAATCCAATCAGCATACCAGGTATCCAATGCAATTGAGTACCGTCGGAGCTGTGGAATTATCTGGGGATCGATAGCTGTGTCGACATCCACACCGAATGTGTCAAATACCTGACCCAAGATGGCCCACTCTTTCACCTGACTGACCAGTCTGGCATCATCTTCGGTCGCATTCTCAGTTTCGAGCAATCTACTGGCAGAATCGATGATGAAACCCTCGCGCGACATTGGAGGCCTGCCATATGCGATCGAGAAGTGATGGTCGCAGACATAGACTAGATAGTACAGGCGAGCTTGGATGTAACCTTCTCGGTCGCCCTTGAGAGCCTTGTAAATTCCGCTATGCAAATTAAGATCGGATGCAATCCGGACGGCTTTGAAATTAGCATCTGCATGAAGGAGATGGAATGGTTAGGTTAAACTCACCATTTCCAATTAACGCCCAAGATAATTCATGCAACCAAAATGCACCAATACATAACCCTCGAATGTCGTCCTCATTTGCGTGTCTCGAAAATATTTGACTTGATACCAAGCCTTTGAATTCCGCGTAGCAGGTTTCAAAGAGCAGGCCTTGAGATGGGGAATGTAAGGCCCCGACAGTGCAAACTGCCGCTGTCAACAAAGGTGACGCGTTGCGAACCGAGTCCAAACTAATGTGGTCACCAAGGATCCTGTATAAGAAGTGATCCAGACGGAGGTGGTAGGTATCGAATAGTGCAAGCCCTTGGCGCATTGTAATTAAGCCGGTGGATATCAGATCCGGCCGACGAGTCGTTGATAAACCACTTGGCATCGTGGCTCTAACATTATCGGAGAGACAGGACGCTGGGATGGATCCCGGGCCACCTCGAGGGTCCATAATTACCCTCCAGGTGTTTTTTGACGGCTGTTCATCCTGGACTGGGGACTCTGGAGTTGGGCTGGCTAGATCCGCGTTGGTCATTTCCACTGGGGGTGGACTGATGGAGTCTAAATGCTCCTCATTTTGTGTCTTCGTTCCCAGCTCAGGGATATCAACCTTGGTGGCTATTTTGGCAATAGCATCTTCAAGCCGTTTGATCTTCTGGACAACCGCTCCTTTCCATCTGCGAAGAAATATAGTTAGCTCAGTCCAGGTAATGCCAGTTTAACAATAGAATGGAGTGAATATACCACTCACGTCACATCCTGTTCGAGTAGAGTCTGTAAGCTTCGATTGACCGCACATGGCAAGCCCCTCTTTTTGCACCGTGAGCATGGTACCTGGCCATCACGCATATGACATTTGACCTGTTGAGTTTCTTTTAGCTTGACTGTACCACCCGAGAATACCTCATGTCGTACCTTCTGCTTTCGGCAAGCAACGCAAGCAGTGATCTTTCGAGTGATATCTGGTGGCTTTCGATCACCAAATGAGTCTCTCAATGCATTCACCTCCAGCGTGGAGGGTAATGGTGCATCCTCCATTGTGTATCGGGATCTTTCCGAGAGTCAACTGGCGAGTCAATCTCACCATGCAAAGCGACCAACCAAGACTGCAGCAATGGTCATGGCAGATCCGTGCACGGATAGTTTCTAGACTTTCCTTGCAATAATGGATTCAGTTCTGTCAAGAACGTAAAAGAACACCGCAGGACTTCGCACCGAAATTATACCCGGTGGGATGGAGAGAAGCGGAGCTGGCGGGACAGGCGGGGCAAGGGGAGGTGCACGTGGGGACGGAGACAGCCGCTGACTGGGGAAGCCCTTTGGCGCGCCTAACGAAGTGGGGGCCCTCGTGCCAACACCCGCGTTGCTCATTGCTCGTTACTTTTGGCTTTAGTCGCTTGGGATCAAAGTCTTGGATATCTACCACGGGCTTGATGCCGGGCCTGGCCGATACTGGTACTTCTATCTCTTGAATATACTGTTTGCCTAGTATATAATTACTTCAATTCAAACCTCGATCATCCCGACATCTAGTTAGTATGTTTACCTGCAAATGCTACCCACGGAAAATATCTCTTCTCAAAATTACAAGCTTTTAGCTTGGTGTTCTTTTTGAACAAAGCAAATTGGCAATATTTCTTGCATCTTCTATCACAAATGGCCTCACTAGGATCCAAGGTTCGGTTCCTTATTACGGCGGGAGTTGGGTTCTTTGCTGATGGTTATCTCAATTTAACAATCGGTCTTGGTATGAAATATTTCAAAGACAATTTCTATTCAGCTAAATGCTAACACGGCATCTATAGTCGTTCCCATTCTTGGATACCTGTATTATCAAGATGGCAAAGTTCCCACGGTTGACAGTGATGTGATGAAGGGTGGCTTGAGCCTCGGAATGGTTGTTGGTCAGCTGCTTTTTGGAGTTCTCAGTGATGTTTGGGGCCGTCACACCATATACGGCAAAGAGCTTCTCTTGACAATTTTTGGTACTTTGCTGGTCGTTCTACTGCCTTGGAAAGGCATGGATCCACAATCTATCACGGCGTGGGTGGCCATCTTTCGGGTTTTGACTGGAGTAGGCATTGGAGCTGGTATGCATGATCCCAAGCTTTTCTGCAGATTTTAAATCACCAGATAACTAATTTTATAGACTATCCTCTCTCATCCTCTCTTGCCGCGGAGAAATCACCCTTCGGTACCCGTGCAATCCAAGTCTTGACCGTCTTCTCGAATATCGGTCTCGGAAACATGGCGGCTAGCATTGTGTTTCTCGTCCTTCTGAAGGCATTCCAAGGATCTATCGCAGCAAACGTGGCCTATTTGGAATGGGTTTGGCGTCTCCTTTTGGGCATCGGTATCATTCCCGCTATGTTCACTCTCTACGCTCGCTTGACCATTACGGAGACTTTGCCCTACAAGCAATGTGAGTATTTTATGCGTCTACAAACTTGTATGATCTAATATTTTTAAGATGTTTGTGATGAGGGTACCGGGCAGAAGCGTGATCTCAAGCAACAATGGTGCGACTTTCGAGATTATTTCGGCGATTGGAAGCATGCCCGCGTTCTCTTCGCAACATCTGCGGCCTGGTTCCTTTAGTAAGTCGCGTTATCACTCACCTGCTGAATTCCAAACTAACTTCGTGTAGCGACATTGCCTACTATGGAGTAAACCTCAATCAGAGTGTCGTGCTCACTAGAATCGGTTTTGCGAAGGGAGCAACCCCGTGGGAGACCTTATACAACACAGCTATCGGAAACATTATTGTACAGGCAGCCGTAAGAGTTCCTTTCAAAGTCGATGCTAACATTATATTCAAAAGGCTAACACTAGATAGGGATACTTGCCTGGCTTCTACGTCGGTATTTTCCTGCCCGATCGTATTGGCCGCGTGCGGCAACAATTCATCACATGTGTTGGAGTCTGCATAATGTACGCTATCTGGGCTGGGATCAGCTCACCTACCGCACACACTTCAACGACGGGATTGATGATTGTCTTTGCAATCTCTCAATTTCTTCTGACGGTGGGGCCCAATGTTACTACATTTCTGCTTCCCGCGGAGGTTTTCCCAACCCGCGTTCGGGGTACTGCTCACGGAATTTCTGCGGCTGCAGGAAAGTGTGGCGCTATTCTCACTTCCTTCGCCTTTGGAACGGTTGAGGATAGTATTGGTTTAGATGGGGTTCTTGGACTTTTCTCTGGGATAATGCTGCTCACTGCGCTTGTGACCTTGTGGATCCCGGAGACAAAGAACCATACCCTTGAGGGAATCGAGGGGGGTGAATTATATCAAGAGGAACGTACTGATATTATTGAGGTAAATACTAAGCAATGAGTGTGTATCTACTAGACTGCGCTATTATGGGATCTCACTTGCAATCGGGACTCAGGATGTTATCTGCTTCCTTGTTGTCCTCGGGTACTACGACCTGCTTTATTCAGATGTTTATTCCACTTCTCATGATTGCCTATTTAATTGCCTGATATACGTAAATTAATGTCTTTTTATTCGGATTTGTGCAACTTCGGTGCTAATTTCTAAAGTTTCGGCCCTGGGGAAAAAGAATTTCATACTATCAAATCCGCTAGTAGACTGCTGGGACCGAAGTCAGGATTCTACGCCTTTTTGAAAATCTACTTCAAGTTTTCCTCACCACGAAGCATAGTATTGAAGCGAGATATTAAAGTAAATTTCAAGTTCATCCAAAAGTATCTCGACTTGATACCAAATGCCAGGTGGTAACATATTTCGACATTCACTGGGGTGGCACAGGCTTCGGGGGTAACTATACTAGGGCAGACCTCATTTCCTTTTTCATTGTCGGGATTGGAACTGCTGTGGATTTCACTTTGGATATAGTAGTTAATACTAGTAGGCTGCATAGATCAATGCCAGCTGATCAATCTCGTCTCCATCTTG